GTGTATATAAGAAGCCTCACCCAGCTCTGTGTTAGCATAACCACAGCAATAGTGTGTGTTCCCAAAGACAACAGCCCCATGGGGATTTAGCTCAGTCAGGGAGAATTTTGGATTTACATTATATCCAAAATATGTCTAACCTTCAGACCAATTTGTACATATTTGGTGAAGTACGGTGTTTTTAGAAATGCTAAAAATCCCAGGATGCATTTATTTGATCCTAAATACAGTTTTCTAAGCCTAGAAATCTCTGGAAAAGCACTTTGACATTGTGTAAGTGTTTTTAACAATGTTTATAGTGGTCACTGATAAGATTTTCCTCTTAAAATAGGGAGATCCATCCATATTTCCAACCTTTTCTACAATGTAATAGTTGCAATGCAGCCTTAAAAAAAAAGATCAGAAAACCCTAAATTTAAATGATCCTGCCTCTTTAATTCTCCCAGGGATGCTCTATTTTCAAATTGCCTTTTGTTTCTCTGCAGCCCTGGCCTTCACCTTGCATTTCTCCTATTGTCCCTGCCACCTCCCCCCCCCACCCACACACACATAGTAATGACATTGAAGAATTTAAAGTCAAAGCATAATTTCTCAAGTTTAAAAAGCATTGGAACCTGGCGGGTTTGCGAGTTTAAAAGCCTCATCTGCTGTGACCACCAATATTTATTTTAGCCAGCGACTCCTTCTCACCTGGAGTTGAGCAGGCTTTGGAAAGTCTAGGTTATTAGGTTCAGAAGAGCAGCCAATAAAACCTGAACATCAAACAGCATTTTTAGAATAATTTACCGGTTAGTTCAGCATGCAAGAATAAGAAATAAAAGCTGCAATGACATTTCTGTGACATTCCTGTGGGATTACTTTGGATAATTGAGCTCACCGGACATCTGGGTTCTCCAAATGCTAATGAAATACATTAAACCTGTTGTTTAAATTTGGGGATCTATATAACAAATGAGTAAACAAACTTTCATGAAGAAAAAGAATATTTTAATGAGCAGATTATTAAAGATTAAAAATATCGGTAACACTATGGTTTAAAAAGACAGACCAAGAACATGCCCCCAATCCCTAGAAATTACAGAAAAGAGATGTAGACTAATGGCTGTTGGCATAAGAAACATCCAAACCTGTAGAGAATTTTTATTTATGAGTTTATTTGAGCCGTGCTGAGGACAGTTTCGGGGAAGCAAAATCTCAACGGAGTGAGAAAAATCTCTGGAAAATGGCACTTTTATAACTTACTTTATACATCAAAGTCACAGGGGAAGGCATAAGGTGGTTGCATGAAACCCATTGGTGGTAGATTAGAAAGGTGGGAGAAAGCAAAGTGGGGAAATTTCTAGGATCTGAATAAAAGTAAAATGGAGAGATACGTACCTGTTTTGCATTGGTTAACAGGATAGTTAACAATTAACACTAACAGAATATCGAAACGGTCTAGGGCAGCGGTTCTCAACCTTCCTAATGCCTCGACCCTTTAATACAGTTCCTCATGTTGTGGTGACCCCCAATTTCATTGTTACAAATTGAACATAATTAAAGCATAGTGATTAATCACAAAAACAATATGTGTTTATATATGTGTTTTCCGATGGTCTTAGGCGACCCCTGTGAAAGGGTCGTTCGACCCCTAAAGGGGTCTC